CCACCGCGCCCTTATCTATCAAATGAATCTACTCGATGCTCATTCCATCCTTCTATGCGTCGATCACGTCGCACACGTCTCTTTCCCACTCACTACCGTAATTACGTCCCCTAGGGAATACGCTCCAAAAGTCTCTTACCCCCTCTACTCTTTTTCTTCTTCTTAAAGCAGTTCTGGATGATGGTACGATACTTTCAAATCAAGATTATATACTTCAGGATTGATGATTGTTTCAAGTACCACCAATGACCAAATCTCAAAAATTTAAATACATCCATTCTATATTGGAAAGGAATTCTAGAACCTTCATTGTAAATTCAAATACTCATAGTGACCTTTTGTGACATGTTCCGCCATTTTTTTTGTTTGTCGATGAGTTTCCTTCCCCTTTCATTTGATGTGCTACATGTGACGATGCTACTATTATTAGCGAAAATACAACTTATTGCTCTGTTGACATCATCTTTGTTTTTTTTAAGACGAATTCTGCATTCGTTTCCCTTTCATATGATGTGCTGCATAATGAGATCCAACTATCATCAACGAAGATGCGGCTTAGTGCCCTTTTGGGATCGTCTTTGTTTTTCTTCTTTGTTGATGAATTCTGCATTCGATTCTCTTTCATTTCATGTGCTACACGTTGAGATCCAACTATTATTAACGAATATGCCACTAAATGCCCTTCTCACATCATCTTAGACTTTTTTTTGTCAATAAATTCAACTTTTTTTTCCTTCCATTCAACTGATTCTAATAGCATACAAAAATGGGCTAGGGTGTTCGCAATGAGGTACCTCCATGAGGCACTGAGGTACGAGGTCCCCCAACTTTGTTGATGCACAATAGCTTATCAAAAATTTGCTAAGATGGCAACCGTGTGGTGTCGGATACCACAATTTTGATAAATTCTCAATACAGTTTTATAAAAAATGAACTGGGATGTTTACCGTGATGTGTCGGGTCTCCAATTTCGGCGCATTCATAATAGCGTATCAAAAAATTTGCTGGAATGTTCACCGTGATGTTTTGAATCCTAATCACTGGAGATATATTAATCATGATATCAAATATAAGATTTACAGTGCTTGACCTTGAGTTCCGTCGTATGCCCATTGATACACTACTTGTTTTCACCCTGGTGGGAGGTGCATCCTCAACCGATATTGATTCCAAATGAAATGACGAGACAAGTGTGCTGTCATTAGCAAAGCTATATATTGAATTTTCGTTTTTTTCAATAAGTCGTTGATATACAAAAAGAGGGTTGGAGACAATGTGGCTATCTGGGAACACCAGCATTAATGATAAAAGTATTACAGAGATATGCTACGACGACCACTTGCAGGATTTTTTTTTCAGGAAGCTGGAGAGCCATATACAAATGATCCGTTAAACCATAACATCTTTGGCCAGCGAACCCTTATGCCACACACGGTTAAATGCCTTAGAAATATCAAGCGCAACAATTCTCAACTTTACTTGTTTCTCGATTGCGTTATCCCAAATAAGGGTGACTTACCATAAAAGGTCGCCTGTTGATCTTTGTTGCTGAAAGCCATATCGATGAACGCTCAAGATGTTGAAACTTTCCACATATTTAGGGATATGGTGGTTTACGGCTTTTTTCATGATTTCGATATCACTGATAGCAAAGCGACTGGTCTATAGTTATTTGGAAAACTTTTTTGAACTTTTTGGGAATAGGCTGAACGCGAGCAATCTTCCAACATGAAGAAAAACCCCTTCCTTGTGAAACTGGTTGAAAAGTCTGCAAAATACTGGTGCGAGCTCATTGGTGCACTTTTCAGGTACGATGACGGACATTTCTTCAGGACCAGACGGCTTGTTGATATCAAGCTGTTTCAAAATTCGCCTCACTAGACGTTGTCGAGAAGTGATTTCCGGCATTACGGATTCTCTTGTGGGAATAGTGGGTTGTGCCTTTCCTAAAAAATTGACTGTGGAGTGGGACGCAAATTGTCAGTTGGTAGATTTGCTTTTTCTATGGCTGTTGTTGCNACTTTTGAAACGGTTCCTGCATTTCCTCTCGTTCAGATAAAAAGATATATACCAGAATCACGTCTGAATAGGGAATGGGAATCATAGCCGTGATATAGAAAATTGACGGAATTTGTTGAAGCACTGACTTTGGATTCTGTAAGTGCAAGAATTAGAACTCTTTGCAGATGTTGGTGCACCAAAGTGAGTTCAAAATAATTTTTCCATTTAAATTATGTTTTGAAATTGATGATGCAATTTTTGTGAAACTATTCCAGTACAAGTAAATCATTATTCAATCATTATGTACATAAAATTATTACGCAATCAGGAACACCTGATCTGATTTTCAAAAATTAAATAATGTTGGTAGAGAATCGCAATGCCTCTCAAACGAATTGTTTGAAGAACCCCCTTTCTATTTGAAAAAAAAAGTTTGTAGCGTCTTCTCGGCAACGCGTGATGGAACACAATTGTCTTTCTTTTCAAAAAGTACTAAAACTGATAACTTTTTAATGTGAACTCGCGATAAATTGGGCAATGAATAATTTTTAATATTCACGAAGTCTTAATGATAGGTTTGACACTTATTATAACCATTTTCAGATGGGAAGAGAATAGAGCCAAATATCTAGAAGAACTTGCAATGGATCTAATTGAAAATCAGTTCAAGCGTTTGGTTATGGACGATACGGTTCTTAATTTACATGTGTACGTCGAAGATGTGTACGAAACACGAATTGGCCCGAATGATGCCAATCTGAGCATGCTGAAGATGATGAAAGCAATAGAGGAAAAGTATCGCCATGAACTCTTAAGTCTTGATAAGGTAATATTTTTTTATATTTTTCATAAAGATGTATAAAATATCATTTTTGGCTTTCTGCTTCTGAGTCAGTATTATTTTATGGTTGAAATATGTATCTAGTTTCACGATTGACTTTTTTTTCGAAAATTTCAGTTGGACAAAGTGGTTCAAGAAATTAGTACAATAATATTATTATTCATTCTCTAGGTTCCCAGTGAACAAGTTCAAATGTTGGAGGGAAGCTGTTACGAAGAACAAATAAGAGTGATGCGATTAGCGGAAAAGGCAGCCAAGCAGTATGCAGAGTTAGAAAGACTGACGTACAGACTGAATAAAGCATTCGCTCCACCACATGAAAAATTTCATGGAAAAGGTTAATAAGATATCATAGTATAAGAATAACAGAATAGAAATGATGGGTTTTGAAATTTACAATGATCTATTTGAAATGGAACTTTATACAAAGAAGTGAACTGTTACTAGAGTTGTGAAAAATGGAAAATCCTATTTTTTTTTCATCCCTACCTCTCTGTATTTTCTACTGTCTGGAAGAAGATACAAATGTTCGCTCATAATTTTTAAATGCATAAATGTAGTTAAACTCTCACTATTCACGCTCAAATGCTCAACAATATTTTTCTATTGGTCATATACAGTATTCAGCTGTTGTTTTCAGCTATATCCATCAAATCAAATAATTTAGCCAACGCCGAGTGTTACATCGTATGTAGACAAAATTTCCCAATGAATGATGGCGATCAGATCTGCTCGACTGTCTCATCATCAGACATCACCATCTCTTTACGTCTTACTTACTTACTTTCCATACTTACTTTCTCTTCAAAAATTTCTCCTCTAATTAGTCGTCAACAGGGTTATCATCACCTTCAACTTCATCAAAAAGACTATTTCTCATAATCAATGTAAAATTCATGGAAATTTATAACATTCATTTTCAGTTGAATCGAATTAGCAATGAAACACTATTTGTCAAAACAAAACAAAAGTACTCGCGCGGGGCTCAAACCCAAACAAAGGTCTACAAACTATTTTTGGCACAACTCACTAGAGTCAGAAAAAAACTAGTACTAAGAAGCTATTTATAGTCGTCAAATACAGTGAAGTACCCAAGAACTAAGATTGCCCAGATCTGTGAGACTGGGTACGAGTAGTGGAAGAATAGTGGATTATACTGAATATTCATTCTTGTAGAGGCAACATTTCGTACGAGAATTATTCTGTTTCATTTTCGACCCTGAACTGCGAATGAGTTACAGAGCAGCAAAAATAGGTTGAATAACATTTGCATCACTTTTTCGTTTCATGAAAAATCAGTTGAAGTAGATACTCTCTCAACATTATTAATAAGATGTTAAATATATTCAAATTGCATGCTTGAAAATTATTTTCATCATCAATATCAAGGAAAACCGGGGTGAAAGTGAAGAAAAAAGTTTTTTGAATTGTCTTCGAAAGTTTTGTTAACGTAGCATAAATCGGTGATAAACGTTTAGTTGAAACTTTCCATGTGAATCTTTCCTCTGTGAGACAAGAAACTGATGATGTTTATATACAAAATCCAGTAAAGAGTAATTCACCAGAGCTTTTCTGTCCCCCCACATCATTCCCAAAACAAGCACTTTCTCACTCACCAGAAATGCGATACTTTTTTCGAAAAACATTTCACCAAACATTTTCGGATTTATGAAAAAAAAGGTTTGAAACGTTTTCCGTCCAAATCAACTTATATAGAATATTGTACAGAGTGGGCCAAATTTCCATGTGAATCTTTCCTCTGTGAGACAAGAAACTGATGTTTAAATTCAATGGTGTAAAATACTTATTTTTCAAATTAGATATCAATAGTAATAGATGGAAAACTTGTTTCTAATGAAATCACCTGTATATTCCTGCATATTTCAATTGAGCTTAAAATTACATTTCCAAAAATTGAGGACACTCGATGTATTGCTAGAGTGATCTTTGAAATGCAAATCTTTCAGGTTTTTTCATGTAGACTTTGAAAGGCACACTATGATCAAGTAGGCTTTGGACGACGCGGCGATAAAACAGAAAGAAATTGTTCTGCAGTAGCTATCAAATGTTGAGAAAGCTTTTCACAGCAGTAGTTGAAACGCACAGTTTCAATAAAACTGATAACAATTTTTACTTAATTTACCACTAATAAATGAAATTTCACCAATAATAATAGTAATGATAAAGAACAAACAATGAAATATATTTCTTCAGAGAAGGTGTTTCAGGTGTCTACCAGCTTCTCCTACACACAAACGACACCTTTTCTGAACGTTTTTTCAATGGGAGTGAGAGATGCAAAACGTTGCATCACTGTCGCTCCCAATTCGTATTTAAAATTCGTCGGAAATTTTAAAATATAATCTTTCAATCTTTCCCAGAGATGAAAGTCCATAAGCGTTAGGTCCGGTGACCTGGCCAGCCAACGGTTAGGTCCTTGGTTGGCTAACCAATTATTACCAAAATATGCAGTCAAAAAATTTGTGACAATTGCAGTATTGTGAGACATAGCTCCGTCTTGTTGAAAATATATTTTTCTGAGCTCCATTAGTGACAATTCATCAACAAGGGGTTCAATATTTTGCCTTAAAATTTCTAAATACCTCTGAGATGTGAGAATGCCATTATAAATGAATGAGTCGATAATTCTACCCCTGAAAACACCCGCCCACATCCTAAATCCAAATCTTCTTCGACTCATCTGCACTACAATAGAATGAGGTTTTCCTTGTGGCCAAGGATAAGAATTGTAGCGGTTGAAAATGCCAGAACTTCTCACATAAGCTTCGTCTGTCCAAATTCACTTGAAACGAAAAATCACGCTCTTTGTTAGAATTTTCTAGGGAGAACTGGCAAAAAGCCATGCAGCGTTCCAAATCTCCTGCTCTGAGTTGATGAATTTTTCTGGTCCTGTATGGCTTGAATTTGTGTTATTTCAAAATCCTCCTAACGTTAGTTCTTGGTAGGCCTGTTGATATTTTTAAATTTCGCGTTGACGTTTTGAGATTATTTTCAACAGCTCCTAAAACGACCATTTCTTCCAACTCCTTATCCCTATTTGATTTATAAAATTTTGGCCTTTTTTCAAATTGACTACCATCAACTAGGTTATGTCGCAATCTTGCGAACATGTCTGTAGAAGTGTGGCTTCTCTCTGGTCACCTTTCGTGATACAAATTGCTTGCTTCTGCATTTTCCCCGGTTTGTATAAAACAGACTATCATATCCCATTTTTCATAATTCTCATACTTCATTGCGAATGTTTATGAAAATTGAATATAAACCAGCTAATTGTTGAGCGTCTTTACTGCCTAAATCAAAATTTGAGAGCTACCAGAAAACATCTGCATTTTGTTTTATCTGCGCATTGTCCAAAGATTACTTGATGAAGAGGTGCTTTTCAAAGCTTACATAAAAAACCTGAAAGCTACCTTAAAGATGACTCTAGAAAAACATCAAATGTGCTACATTTTTGGAAAGGTAATTTTAAGCCCTATTGAAATTTGCAGGAATATTCAGGATGCCTCATTAAAAAAATAGTTTGCTATCAATAACTATCGTAATACGAATTGAAAAAATAAGTTTTTCATACCATTGAATTCTACGTTTAAAAGTGCCCTGGAATTGTTTTCAACAGAAAAAACGTTACAACTTTTCGAAAATGCACATTAAGTTTGTCATGAAATTTGATCCTCAGTTCTCATCTATCTAGTTTCAAAACAGGAGTTTCCCTTTAAAAGTGTCCAATTAATTTGGCCCACTCTGTACAAATATTTTAAAATTATCGTATGGTCAAAAATGCAAATAGGTGTGGAATACCGAATTTTTCACTACCTTATCATCCTAAAAATCATATAAAAACTCCTATTCATGATTATGTTTGCAAATTATTTCAAAATATTTTGATATGATAATTTGCAATTATCATCATGGTTAGTGTTTGTAACTGGTCGATGTATTGAAAAAAATATAAATAATCACCACTACCTTTGGAGGATCGTGAAGTGATTCATGTATGAATACGCAAAGTATAACTGGTTTGAATATTAATGGTCATTATTACTGCGATTTTGAATTTGAGAGGGCCATCGATGTTGATATATTTGAAATATGGTAAGGTAATTGAGACCCTGAGTTAAGTTGCAGTGTACATGAGAAAGTTTCGTCTGTAAAATATTTAGTTTAGTTTAGTTTAGCAGGAAAAAGCATCTCGTGTATCAGTTGAATCTTGTTGTTTTCCGTCAAGCATCTGCCCAATTCCACTTTGTGTGAACAATAGGATAATTTTTTTTTTCAAATTTTGTCATATTGGATAATTTCATTTTCAAAATATTTTTCAGAGGCAAAGAAGCGTTCACGACCAATTGAACCCCCACAGGAATTAGAAGCCCCTCCACGTAGTCTTACAGAAGAGGAAGAGGAATATTTAGAGTTCTTTACTGATTTCTGTAAACAAACAGATGATCCTGAAAATTATGGTATCAATACTAAAGATGGGGGAAGCGGTGCTGCTGTAGCTACACCGTTTTATGAGCAAGATAGCAAAGCCAAATATGGCCGACTCAAAGGATTATCAGTTGTGGAAAGAATAATCATAACGAATACATAATAATCCGTTGAAGTGTAACTCGATATAATTATTAGAAAGAAGTTCAGAACAAATACTATTTTATATTATTTTCGTGATGTGAATTTGGCCATAAACAAAGACAAAGTTGAAGAAATGAAGATGGTTCCAAAGAGAAATGAAAAACATTCAAGTCCAAAAATAGGAAATAGGAGAAGTATTTTCGTCAAACATATTGACGATATCCATGATAATGATGATAAAATTAACATTTTCACAATATATATTTTATTGAAGACACGTTTCACTACATGGTAGTTTCATCAGTGTAACTGTTTAAAGTATAAAATTTATAGTGCGAAAATTGTATAATCACTATCATGTACAGTATTATTAATTGTCATTGAGTATTGGGTCAGTGTACTCATAATATCCGCATTGACTTATAATTAGCAGGAAATTGTTAAAAATGCTCTGAAGAAGTAGGTGTCTACATTTGGTAATAGGTAGAATAGTTTGCGAGAAATTATTCGAATTAATTTTCTCACCAAGTTTCAGGAGATGACAATAATGATAAAAATATAATGATGTAGGGATCATGTCTGTTCAGTCAAAAATTAATTTTGATATCAGAAAATTTTAAAAAACCTAAAGATGAATTCGAGAGAGAAGCTACTCTGTTTTTTCATGAATCTACAGGTGTGAGTTTCGTTGAGAAAATTAAATACAGCATATTTCTGTTATCATTTTTGTATAGATGAATATGAAAAAATACAAAAATTATTTGAATAAATTTCGAGTTAACAATGTGAAAACACTCTCCCTTACCTAACTATTCAAAATACTTCAAGTGAACAACTCTGACACATTCGTGACAGTCTCTCATTACTTTGCCATAACTGCATTACCAACAACATGAATTATTTCTAGTTCTAGTATGTCTTTGAAAAGGTTTTCCAGATTTGATTATAGACATGTAGATTCATCTTTAGAATATTGGAATTGGACACGATTAACCATCCCTTCTTGAATCCTTCAAAGTACCAAGACCGAGTACAGTGTACCGAAAGGAACTATATATACAGTGTGTTTCATAATAGAGTGCTAATCCTGAAGAGCGATAATCTCTGGATGTTTTCAAGAAATATTCATATGAAAATAGGTCAGCAAACGCTTTATTTCCTGAAAACAGGACGTTGAAATTTGAAAAAAAGATCATTTCTTGTCTAACCATTTATTGATATTTCAGGACAAACAGGAAATGCGCCCATCATGATTTCATTCAAAAGATGGTATTGTAGGTGTAGGTATTTCAACCTACTTCTTTACTTCTTTCAATGTTTCTGACCTGATCGACTCGTACCCTGCATTTTTTGAGTTTGATTGATTCGATTCGTGAATTTGAGGAGCATTGTCAGTTTTTTCATTTTTGCAGCCTTCCTAAAGTAGTTATTGAAAGAGTTTGCAATTTCTCTTATCATTATCTAATTTTATTGTTGCTTTCTCTTGTTTTTTACCAATGCCATTCATTGACGTATTCAAAAAACATTTCATTGTGAGATTTTCACTAAACGATTTTACAATAACGCAACACGTGTTTCGCCATACGTCCTAACTACTTTAGTAGTAAAGACATGCCCGAAGAAGCCTTTGTATGGCGAATCACGTGTTGCGTTTTTCTAAAATCGTGTAGTGAAAATCCGTTTCTTGAATAAGTTTGTTCTGGATTTTCATGAAGTATAGACCAATTCCATCATAAATGCCATTTATTGTCTTCCACAGAAATTCAGGAGACGTTTCATTGTTTTCTTTTCGTTTCTTATAAAACACACTTCTGGTTTTTTCAATAGGATTTCTAAGTTACTTCTTGAGTCGATGACTTCATTTTGCAATTCATTTGATGTTTTTTTTGTAGTTTTGTACTAATCCTGAAGTCATTTGGTTTCTTCTTTCGATGTATTCACGATTTTGCACAATTTGTATTGTACTTTCACAAACTACACTGGAAACGATTTTATCTTCACAAACTTTATTTCCAAAAATATCACATGTTTCGCTATCGTAGTAGCTATTTCGCAGTGAACAACATTGTATTGTACTATTCTGATGTTTTCATTAGTATTTTTCCACATTCATTAATATTTTCTTGAGCAAGAAACTCATTTCAATTTTTGTTCTAGGGTCTGAAATTTTTTGAATTGAACTGAGTATTATATATTGATTGGTTTGAAGTATTTCGTTTTTTTGGTTCAAATTCAAGAATATTATGGTAGAAAAATGATATAAGATTTGAGAATACCTACAATGTTTCACTTTCTTCTAGATCAGAGGTTCTCAAACTTATTTTGTCTATCGCCCACTTGGAGAATTAATTATTTTCTAGCGCACCCCAAATCTTTTACTTTACTACAACTTAAGAATCACAATCGCAGTCATTATTTTATAATTAAATTATGTGTGTCATGTGAAAATAAGACTTTCTGATGAGGGTAATGTAAAACACCATTTTGTAATATTAGGAAAACTTTTATTCATGTTATTTAAACAAACATTTCAATTTGAATTTTGAAACTAATCTAATTTGAAGGATGAATTTAATGATTTTCAACAACTTTGTTAATATCAGGCTCGAATTTACTCAATTTACTCAAAAACAGCCGTAAGCCACCGCGTTCGGTAATCTGTAACCGATTTCTCTTGTTAGTTAGCGACATTGCCACAGCACTAAATCCACGTTCACACACATTTATTGTTTTGATTAAATAGACAACCGGCAGAAGATATTAATTAATGTCAATTGAAAACAAAAAGACATCATAAACTTGTAGATTTTTGGAAATGATGAAAAGTTTGCAAATTATGGTTGTAAACCATTTCCCTAGTTAAGGACATGAAATGCTAATGAAAAATTTATATGTTTAGACATAAGAGAGGTTACGAATGTATTTGCATAGTAAATGTTAAGGATAGATGTATCTAAATTCAGAAATAAGTAGCAAACTTGTAGAGAAAATAGTTAGAGTAATTTGCTGTTCTCATTGGTTAATTTATATTTAGAATTTAGATTTTACATTTCAATAAATTGATGGATGTAGCCGTTACTACGTGGTAGGAAATCATAATGAAAAGAGAAATGAAAATTTCTGTTTTTTACCACTTTTATTTGTAACTAACGTTACTGCAGTTTCGTCCTATACGAACATTTTCAAACTTATACAATAAACTGTAAACAGTCTACTCTTTTGGAATACCTAGTCAAGTGACTCTATAATAGTTTTTCAATCATTTTGAATCATTACATACATTTGTGTGGATGTCTTCAGTATTATGATTTTGTTATTTCCTCTTTAAACCTTGTGTTAATGTCTCGAAGAAAGAAATAAATAGTTTTCGAAAGCTCGACAAATAACAAAGAGTATTCTTAATTTCTTACGGAAGTGGCCGCCATTAATTTAGAATACACGTTTATTCTAAGTGAGCCATTACCTACCTGTGCTGTCAAACAGGTAATAATCAGTTAAAAATGGAGGGAGTAGAAAAAAGTAAATTTCATATGGGTTATATGCAAGGGAGGGAAATGTTTCGCCCCAAATGATTAAACAGGGCAGTTACCAGTGCATTTGAGACAAGTTTAGCAGAAACAAATTTTTGGTGAGACGCCATCCTTGAATAGCAGATGATATTGTGGCTAACTTCAATATGACGGTTGTTTTCGTGAGGTTTCGGCCAAAAATACTCTTTAATATTTGTCAAGCTTTCGATATCTTTATTACCTTATTCGTCAACATAATTGAAATATGTGGATTGGATTTTGTATAAAAACATAATCATAAAACAGTTGCTGATATAAGAGGACTACAAAAAAAAACTCCATTAATAAATTAGCAAAAAATTTGAATTGGTATATAAAATTTCGTGTATGGATTGCCCTAAAACATATGTGCGACAAATTTCTAGACCTCTCAATAGTCGCATTATTTCACAGCAAGCAGCAAAAATGTCCAATACTTTTAGTAACAGGATCTAAGTAAAGTATTCCAATTTGCTCGATCTTTCTATAATCGAAAATAAATAAAATAATCTTATATGAAAGTTATGAGGCACCAGTAGCTCACCTTTTGAAAATATTCGCTTTCAGATGCACAACACAACACAGCTTGAAATTATTTTTATTAATGAAACAACTAGTTTATTTTTCTGCCACTGCAATTCCTATTTTGTTCAAAGTTTATTCCAAACCACAATGCACATGGGCCAAATTACTGGCTTTTGTTGAAAAAAAAATGGAAAATCACGCGAGTATTGGGAGAAATGAGTGTAATTGAGCTATTTCTTTGAAGAGTGAATTTTGTCTGGTGAAGTTACGTAAAGAACATTAAAGTAGTATGTACTGCTTTGATCATCATTCATTTTTATAGGTACTGATTTCTTTTAAATCTTACTTCGATTTTATTCCCTTTCGATTTCTACTTTACTTCCAAATTTTGATATCAATTACATACCTGCATGTTATTTCAAACAATAATTCGATCATTCGTGGTGTTACAATCATTTTCATTCCATTCTGTTCAACATATGTATTATCTGAGTTTGAAATTGAATAGATCTTCAATTACCTTCTTCAAAAACTGGAGTTGGCATTTGTTGACAGTCATTCGTGTGATTTTTTTCGAAAACTACCTTAACTTAGCTAATTTACTAAAAAATATGTATTAGTTTGTTGTCTGTAATGGATAAAAAAACTACTTTTGTCGTTTCAAACATTAAATATTAGGTTTCAAACGTGTCTCATCGGTGTTCAACCACTGTCCTGAACGTGACGATTTTATCCAAAAAAACATAGTTTTGGTTGCGCAAGACCTCAAAACGTGGGGCTTTCTATCGATACTTCAAATCATATGGCACCCAGTTTTCGAGCCGTTTGACCTTTCGAATACGTTTTATACCATCAAAAACCACATGGGAGTTGACGCCCAGTTCTTCCGCCATCCTACGCACCGTTTGTGATGGGTTAGTTTCCACCAAGTGCCTCAAATGCTCGTTCTGGATTACTGGCTTCAAGGTTAACATTTTCGGAACAAAATTTTGCAAACCA